CAGCTCATGTTGTAAATATTAATTACAAACCTGTGCACGTCTTTCCATCACCCTGGTATCCATGGTTACACTGACAGGTATGAGAACCAGCGTTATTGGTGCATTGCGCATCCGCATGACAGGAATGTGCACCAGTTGAGCACTCGTCGATATCTAGTAAACAGTAAAACATAACAATTAGGATAATCATGAGAAGATAATACTTTGATGATAGCAGAAAGAATTCCGATTAGGTCTCTTTTAAGTAGCATAAGATACCTGTACATGCCCATCCATCACCATGGTATCCTGGATTACATTGACAAGTGTAGGTACCAACTGTATTAGTACACTGTGCATAGCCATTACAACTATGTGAACCAGAAGAACATTCGTCGATATCTAGAAGCAAAATGATCAGTCAGTCTTCATTTGGATGGTTGGGTGTTTTTGAAAAATGGGAAAAAAAGTCTATCTAAAACCTTTTTTTACTCGACCTTATCTGCATTATTTCAATCGCACGTAAACTAGCACTTTCTTCAAAGAGAATTTTTGAAACCAGAAAAATTCCACGACCTAGATAGATAAGAATTGAATAGCACACAGATTGGATGACATACCAGAACATCTTCTTCCATCGCCACTGAAACCAAGATGACAGCTACAGGTGAAAGATCCAACAGTGTTTGTACATTGCGCGTTGGCATCACAGCTATGAGTACCGACAAAGCACTCATCGGCATCTAGAAAATTATAAAATATACTTCATTCACTAAAAGATTTCTTCCGAACTTTCAATCATACTTCAGTGAACTAAGAGATCGATATTTTTTTTTCCGGTGGCATTTTTAGRAAAAATAAGTGTACTGTTAGCTATCATCATTAACTTGAAAGGCTTTTAAGCCTTTAAAAGCAATCTACAACGAATATAGGATATCTCCACGCCACAGCCGAACTCTCTCTCTTTTCTATTGCTTACACGATCTACGAGTTCACTTCATGGAAATTGAATATAAAACGGTTTACCGGCTCAATACTCTCCTAATTCATAGCCAAACCGAAGTTGATTAASTACCTGAGCATGTCCTTCCATCACCATTGTAGCCAGAGTGACAWATACATGTGTAAGATCCATCAGAATTCGTACATTGTGCATCCACGTGACACATGTGATASTTATTAGAACATTCRTCAATATCTAAAACCAACAASAACAACAAAAAATACTRATCGAACTAYWAAAAAAGGGCTCACAYGAAGATAATCAAAAAACGCAAAAGCAKATGAACAATTTATCWAACTGGGAAAAAAGATTTYGARKCATCGARCAAGTTCTTATTACTTTACAAAATTACCACTAYATAAAAAATTTGAKTAGACATAGCAACAGATGTGAACCCTAGATTATGGTATTAGATGAAAGTACCTCGTTTGCAAGTGTATGAGTGACAGGATCCACATGTCACATCATTCCAGTGATAGTCATGACGTAATCCAAGGGTATGAACGCAATCCTGGTCTCCAGGGTAACCGTTTGGTTGGTTYKKYGCCCAGTASGTAAAGTTRACATTKGYACCGTCAATCCAGGTAAAGTTTCCTTCAMTGTCAATGTCTTGTAGTCCTATCCATCCTGTATCACCGCCGTGACGATGTTGAATGTACGTGTTTTCTTCTTGGCTG